TATGTATGTATGTATGTATGTATGTAACAAGTACAGTGCTACTTTATATTTAGCCTGATGTACTTTTTCCTTCTCTTCTTTTAGTTTACTGCTGTATTTGTCAATATGTACAGTATTTGCTTCTTTTCCTTGATAAATGAGCACATGAGGAACTTACACATCAAATGTCCAGTAGATGGTGATATTTCATCAGTTATAGTTTGCTGTTTGGTTGAGGCTGACAGTGTTGATCCTCCAGAGTCAAAATACAGAGTAGGCTACAGAATATATAGGTACAGTAAGAGGAGAAAGAAACATTCAGGATTTTGAACAATTACTGACACAAACTGGCCCATATAATAACAAAGGCTTATGATATGGTGAGAGGGTGAGACACACGTTTTGTTTCATACTAAAAAAAAGGCCAGATTCAGTCAGAATGTAATTTGATCTTGTAATGTGATTTAGTGTTTGTCTACATTTAACATTAACATGCTGCGTTTAGTTATTTCCTCTCACGCAGGCACAGAACGTACATGCTGGAGACACAGCGACACCAGGGGGCCTTTGTTGCTGCTGGTTCTCCAAAATCTGTTTGATGTGTCTGGGCCTTTAGAGGAATGTTCAGTAGTTAATGATTTGTATGTAGTGTGGCTCCTTGGTCCTTTTCAGTTAGGTGGTTTTCTGCAGGGTGTACGTGATTCAATCAAACAAAGTTTTCCTTGTATTTATTCATGTACAAACTGTAAGTATATTCTTTGATTGGGGCATGCTAATGGTGCACAATGCTTCTTAAGACCGCATGGCCATCATTATCATGCAGTGCTTATAATTATGAATATGTCCTATTTGCTTTGTTCATTAGTACAGAAATGTTATTATAGCAGCAGCTCTTCACCAGTCTAATTTAGCAAGGCATTCTATAATACTGAAGCAGTGAATTACAATGGATTAGTGTTCCAAACTGTATCTTATGAAGTGTTTTGGCTGCCATTTGTGGTTATAAAGTGCCCTCTGTTGGGCTTTAGGATAAACTGCACTGTGATGTTGTGCTAATTTCCTCTGTTAAAACAACTTTAGTATTTATTTTAATAACCTCTATTATTTCTTTTAATTACCGACCACACTCTGTCCCTAAGGATATTTAGGGAGAAATAAAGATTTGCAAGGATTTCAAGTGTCTCCTTCATCCTTGACCAGTTACCCATGGTGGTTGTGAATAACTCAGAACCATATTAAAGGAATTTCCCCCAAAGCTTTGGAACACAATGATTAAAATTCTTTTCCCACACTTCTCAGGGCTTCACCTGCATGTAATGAATATGTACAGATTTAGAGGACATGAAGGAAATGTTGTCCTAAATGTTGTGATAGAGTGGACTTGTTTCCCCACAAATTACTTTGAGATAAATAAATTACAATTTACCTATTTAAAACGTTTAAAGTGCAATAAATGTATCCTATATTGTTATAAAAATATAGAAAAACCTGACACTGGAAAAAAAAGAGTAACATGAAGGAAAAACAATAAGAAGATTGCCACTGAAAAACACATCAGACATGGTTTCCACGGTCATTGAAAACCTGGTAAAATCATGGAATTCCACAATCACATTTTCCAGGCCTGGCAATGTCATGGAATTTGTAAAAACCATGGAAAGCTTGGAAAAGTCATGGTACTTCCTTGTTAGTATGAAAATTGTTACAGTACTCTCCAGTGGGTATAACATAACAGCAAATTTATTTTCTGTAGGCCAGCTGTCGATGTAACGTAGATCGTCGTAGCCATCAGTGCAGGTCCATAGGTCACACACACACACACACACACACACACACACACACACACACACACAAATGTGTCTCACTGTTTGACAGTGGAAATCAAGGATAAAAAAATATGATGTGATTTCACAAACTTTGATTGTAAAGTTCTATATGCATGGTATTTATGTCTATGGTGAAATGTAATCATATTCTCGATCAATGTGTATAAAGAAACCGGAAACTGCCCCAGGCCCCACCCTGATGAGGACAGGATACCAAACACGTTTAGTGCAGTGAGTGTTGTGTAGAGCTGTATGACATGCTTTCATTTTGATGGACCAGCTCAAGCTTGCTTTCAGTCTCGTTGTGTGTGCGCTCTCAAAGTTAGAAATTGTATCCTGTACCAAAAAACAAGTTGTGGTTTTAGAGGGAATTACGTGCTGGAGCTATTTTTAGACGAACAGTAAGTGAGCAGTGACTTCCTGAAGTGTTATCTTT